ATTTTCCTTCATAAGGGACAACAATGGGTAAGGAAGCCAAGGCGAAGGACAATAAAAAGCATACTTTAATTTTCAAGATTAAGCATGCCGGTAGACTGGCAGTATTATTTTCAGACTGAACGTCCTGTGAAAGCTTCATTGTTAAAAAGGGGAGCGCCATGGAAACGCAACATTGCATTGTTTTCCAAAATCACATCAGCAAAAGTACTTGTTACGTCAACGCCCAAGTCACACTTCTTTATTGGATTCTTGCAGGTGTGCTGACATTCCATATATTTGTCTACCGAAACGAAATTCTATATATGTATACTCACTGACCCAAGCGCCTTCTCTGACAATTATCATTTCCCAAAAGTGAATGCATACAATTTAATATTTCCTGTTAATACAAATGCGTTAAATTCAGTCTTTTTTATTAATAATTTATATTTTCTCTATGCACGTTTTAGTGTTCATGTTCGTTCTCGGGGTTCTTAACATCCTTGTCGGCTCTGTATCTTGTGGTCAGTGTCTTCTACAAATGGTGGATACTTAAAGTGATCTAAATTTTTTTTAAATAAAACCTGCATGCTTTCGCTAATGTCCTCCTTAATTATAACAGGTCAGAATTTTACTGTGCGCACAGCACCAAATGCGAGTTTTATTTGGATCCACTGCTTTCCGACGACACCAAAAGTGCGTATTCACAATAGCATCTTTCCAGCAAATATTATTTTTTCATGAGTACTGATTTACCTTTTTTCTGTTTTAGTCGATCACACTAGAGGGTGATGAAGTTGGCCCAGACCCCGCCTGCACACTTGGAGGTTCATTTTGGAAAGAATTGAGCGGTAGGCATTTGGAACAGAGGCCAGTCTACCTAATGCATCACGAATTGCCAGTTCGGGCTTTGATTTCTGCTACTGGCTCTAGTTTTTAATCGAATACACAATTAACATCCTTATATTTCATACGAATATTTCATCTGGAGTTTGCTTTTGCTTTTAGACAAAACATATTCACAACTTTTCATGGAAGCAATTGCCGATGAAGGAAGTATTGTTCTGCAGCCGAAGGATAGTAAGAAATCCCCCGCGGCAATCATTATCAATAGAAAAAATGGAAGTTCCACAGGTGAATGCTGATCTTACCATATCGAAAGTACTCACAAGACAGATATGCGTTAACGTTCACATAGAAAGCTGGTAATGTTTTAGCTAATAGTATGCGCAATAAACAAGAAGTCCTTTACGAACTTAGGATTCATGATGACGTTCTTTGTCCAAAAAAATTATATCCCAATATGGTGTGGTTAGTATATTATAAACATCTTGCTAACCAGCAATGTTCACTGTACTGTATTTGTTTTATGCGAATAATGCATGGACATTCTACAAAGTTCGTTTGTCGATCAGGACCAGGTATTGCTAACAAAATTAGAAGGCACCATAAACATGTAACGTTGCTTCGGTAATTACGACTATCAATTAATTTCTTTATTCTTAATGAATGAAGCGTGTAATCCCTGTTCTTCTTTCAGAGGATGTTATTATCTGTCGTCTAGCACAGTGGTGATCTTATCGTTGCCCTTTCCTATATAATATTCCTATTAAATGGCTGAGGAAATTTAAAATAGCGCAAGAAATTATTTTGCATATAAAATACATTAGATTTAAACATTTTCGGTGTATGTATTGTTTAAAGTCTAATTGCACTTTTTCTGCACATAGGCTCGCAAATCCCCAAAAACGCTACAAGTCATGAACTCACATCCGACAAAAGGTTTCCAACTAATGTAACGCTTTTATACGCCGAAGAGGTGAATGTACGTCAGATATGAAGATGTCTGATGCCCCTCGGTATTTTAGGAACCAATAATAAGTGGAAAAATACACTTCTTCAATAGATCTAAAAAGCCTCAGCCTACAAATGTGCACATTGTGGAGATCCCATACAGTAAGTTTCCTGTTCTATTACATTTCTTACTATGACTTACAAGTAAAACGCGCATTAAATAAAGTATCTGTATAATTTAGCGCATTTCTCCCTAATATGGCAACTAACAGTGTCCCTGAACTGGTTTTAAAAATCGCAACACCTTAACGCAGGGTGCCATGTATTTTTTTACGCGGCGGTCCAATTCAGAACAGCAAAGAGGAAATGTATGTTATTCCAAATTTTCCAAAAATATGGATTTTATTTTTTAACATAAGCTGATGTTTCTAAACAGTTAGGGGTAATTTTTGCAAATCGTGCGTCTTCCGTTACTTTGTTAAAGTTATAGGATTACGCGCATACCGACGTGAACACATTAGCGAAAACTACCAAATAATAATGAACAGCATAGGCATATTGAAAACTTAAAACGAGTCTAAGAAGTACCTAGTATTTGTTAAGAAAAAATAAACTTTTCCCGATAATCCCCATGTTTTGCAGAAATAAAAATAGCTATAAATTAGAACAGTAAATTTAAATAATTTGTGAAGTTTAAAACTTTACGTAACCTCCTTTTTTATATCAAAAGAATTTTGTTTATTCAAACGTTTTTGTACCTATTACCGTTAATTGATGACTATTTACTTAATATCGTCCTGTAATTTCTGATATAATTTCCTGCGTTTTCAATGTCTTCATTTGTTCATCCGTCAGCTGGTCTTCTGCTCGACGTTGACGTCAAAACCTTTGATATAAATTATACAGAAAAAGGCATTTGCCGAAACAAATGGGTTTTTGGATATTCGTTCTTATGAAAATGGCCATGTATATCATATTTAGAAGTGCCTCAAAAGAACAAACCACATTGTCGAGAAAAAAACGTCCGCATCAGAATTCGGATACTGTTGTTTCAAAGATAAATAAAAAATTATATGCTAGGCTACTACTTTAAAAAGTGCTTCAATTAGATATTCAGCTGACGAATTTCTGTGTGTTTCGCCTTCTTCTAAGATACCATCAAAATTAAAATGGAAACTTTTGAAAATATTTTTAATCAGCCTGCGGATAAACGATTCAAATTGACTGTAGATGAAAGTACTTACTTTTCTCTTTATAGTGGATTACTTTTCCACCATTGTGGATTACTTTCAAGATCTGGTATAAGGATGCGAATGCAACAAAGAGTGCCCGTATATGGACATTTTTTAAACAAATGCTATTCTTCTGCCTGTTTCTTTTGTATATAGCGCATAAGTGGAACGTATGGACTACAAAAAAATATATTTCCACATGAATTAAATTTATCAAGGCTTGTTTCACATTGCCTTTATGGTAACATATACGAACCCTTTGATTATGTACCATCTAGATTGATGCGATAAAACAAATGCGATTAAAACTTTTTCGTTACTATCTTCTGTGCAAAAAATTTCACAGATTAGCTAAACATAATTTTTTTAAAATATAAATCATTCCTTGTTTCCAAAGATAAATGCAATTCCTTCAACTTGGCTTCATCTACATCTGACCAATTTCAGACAAAATTTTACAGTTCTTGAAGGGATGTTTTACACTTTTTTTACTTATTTTGGAGTTCTTTCATAGCAAAGGGCACAAAAAAATAATAAATAAGTAATAAAATACTAATTTAAAATAATAAATCATATTAAAATATTTGCTTCTGTCATACCTAATGGCATAGCAAATTCGTTCTATATGAAACTACTCCCTATTTCACCACAATTTATGCCTTTTTCTCATTTAAAGGCTATCCAAGTATTTAATCAACTCACTGAAACAAAAGAATGCGACCAAGTGTATGCCAAACTAACAAGTCAACCTTAGTCATGAAAGTTCCCCTATTGTATGACTTCCATATTATGGAAACCTATAACAAATGTTTTTGATAAGACGGGAGCCTGTGTATTATCGCATTGATTTTTTTAATCAACAGGTGAAACGGAGTGCGCTGGAAAGTCCAATATTCTGTATAACGGAAAATTGCAAATTAAAACTTTGATATATAACCTAACAACGTCCGATGGTGATGTGCATTTGGTGAGAATTGAGCCAGCCTACAACTCACCAGAGCCTAAATTTCTCAACATTTCCTTCAACGGATCTTCTGAAAATTCCACAATAGCAGCAACACCGACCACAACAACCACACCGACGACGACAACAACAACAACACCAACGACAACGACGGCGACGCCAACACCGATGACAACACCAACACACACAACAACAGCAACTCCGACGACGACGGCAACACCGACGATGACAACGCCAACAGAGACAACAACAGCAACCCCGACGACGACGGCAACACCG